CATACGTCTGACCACCCGTTGGGACAGTCTGCTGCCGTTGGCCAATGCAAATCGGCATGATCAAAGGGACACGACTCGTCAAACGGCATGGTGCGGCAGTCTGGTGCCGACAGGCACGTGTCATAGCTGTAGAACGCTGCAGCAGATCCGCCGAACCCCTGCATTGCCAGCCTGCTCGAACAGCCTTCCCCGACGAAGCACCATGGGAGCTGACACCAGTTGAATTGCGAATGACACCAGTCAGCGTTGTTCGTGCAGTAAGATGATCCCGGCGTCTCCGGCATCTGGTCCCATGCTGCGCAGGTAGTGCCGTAGATGCTGATGTAGGTCAAGTTCCTTGGAGCACAGAAAACGGCACAAAGTAGCAGTCAGGTAAGCCAATAAAAGCAAAAGTCGAAGATTACGACCACCGCAGCACCGTGGCTGTCGTCTTTACTCACCACCTCCACTGCACCACGACGCCCACCACCAACGCTACTAGGCTACACCATGAGCAAGCAAAACCGGGGGCACAACTGCCGGCTGATTACGCAAGCCACAACTACAACCACTATCAGTTCAACTGGATGCTGCGCAGCAAAGCCTGACAGCTTGACACGTGCAGCGCCTTAGCCAGCGCCTCCTAACAGTTGACACGTGCCGTCTACCAAGGTCGCCCGCAAACTTGAAAGACGCGCGGTGCCTTAAGCCGGCACCGCTTAATGAAGCCAGATCTGCCAACAGACCCAGAAAAGGGAAATGGGCTGCCTACATGAAACAAAGCATAAAACGCATGAGCTGAGGCCTGCCTCGGCACGGCGGCATCCTGTGCATTGCCGCTGTGCTGGCTTCAGAAGGGGGGCGTGCCGGTGGGGGCAACGACGTCTGGCAACGACCCAGCGGCGCCCAGACAGAGCCCAACGACATCTGGGGTGGTACCAAAACCAGGCCGCTTTCCCAGGGAAGTTGAACGGAAGCCACGCTTTGCAAAGACCGCGCAACGCAAAGACAAGGTAGGACCAGACAGGAAGGACTCTGCGTTGCGTAGGACTGTTACAGTGATGTCGACGGCAAGACCTCTTGCCGTGGATGCGCCGTCTGCTTTGTCGCAAGTAGACTTCCAAAACAAAGTCAAGTCCAGGAAGAAAAGAATTGCTCCCTTCAGCTCGGGGAAGGTGAACACCCTATCACTTGCCACCAAGAGCTCGAACAGGAGTCCCGGGCATTGGGACCCAGCAGCTGACAGCGGCTCAGCTATGGCTCATGCAGGACGCGAAACGTGTACTCTTCGAGGAGAGAGCTTGTTAAGACTGCTTCAGGCTCCTGTCGGGCGTAGTGGCTACCACATGCTATCCTGCACAAAGGCAACCACGACGACAGCACCAGCGGTGCCGACCGCCGCCACCACCGTCGCAAACACCACCACAACGAAGGCCAAGACCAGTGCCATCCACGAGGACGACCACAACAAAGCAACGAAGAACACCACCCCATACCGCCGCCGTCACCACCGCCGCAACAGCACATCGACGGCGACGACGACGCCAGCGACGGCGACAGCAACGGCAACAGCAACAAAGCATGATAAAGCATGAACACAAATAAGAACAACTGAACAACAGGAAGAACCCCACTGTAATAATGTGAATTTGCAGGTCAAGGTTCTCGTGCATACCTGGATGGTGCACAGGAAACTCAGTGTACACACCCTGTGGCAGATTTGCACCGTGGTACAAGCACTCGCAGCCATTTCCTTTATGGATGGCGTAGGATTCTGTGCCAGACGGATCGTATGGACAGCGCGGGTGGTCCATGTGGTTATAGCAATCCGGCGCCTGCCCACACACGTCGTAGCTGTAATACAGATCGGAGCCGTTGAATATTCTTGATGTAATCTTGCTGCCGCACTGGCTGCTCACATAGCACCTCAGTCCAGCTTCGCTCTCGGATCAATGACTTTTCAAAATCACCTGCGGTCAAACAGTCTTAAGTGCGGGCAGGCTACCAAGGCAGCTGGCACCAGCTGTACAAAGGGCTGGACCAATTGCTGTTCTCAGAACAATTTCCTGGTGTGGCTGGAAAGAGGTGCCCAGAAGCGCTTGAGTGGTACAAAGTGCAGCTGGGAAGCCGTAGTGCGGTGTTCCTGGAACGAAGTCCCAGGCAGCACAGCTTGTGCCGTATACACCAATGTTCGGGAAGTCTCCATACCTGTACAACTCACACATGCTCTGAAGGCCGTCTCGGTTGTGTCGAGATGTCTTCTCTGGTGGCCGAGCCACATTCCGGGACTCTCATCGGGATACTGGGAGATCACATCTGACGGCAGTAGGTGCCCCTGATATGCGCAGCTGCCTCGGCACCGAGTATCGTTTCGGACTCTGCTGCTGCGCGAGCCACTGCACGTGCCCTGAGCCCCGCGCAGCGATCCTCCACCATGAAGCCTGCCACATGGTTCTGACCGTAAGCCTCGGCTACAGTAAAGACTTACTGCCTTTCATGTGGAACCGGTCCAGTCTGAAGGGCGGGTTGGTCTGTCTGTCTGTCTGTGTCAGTCTCTGTCCGTCTCTGTCTTGCTGTTCTCTCTCTCTCTCTCTTTGCTTTGCTTTGCTTAGGGCATGGGGC